GTTCGGTCCATCTCGGTTCGCTCCATCTCGGTTCGGTCCATCATTGTTCGGTCCATCATGGTTCGGTTCATCATTGTTCGGTCCATCATGGTTCGGTCCATCATGGTTCGGTCCATCCTGGTTCGGTCCATCATGGTTCGGTCCATCATGGTTCAGTCCACCATGGTTCGGTTCATCATTGTTCGGTCCATCATGGTTCGGTCCATCATTGTTCGGTCCATCATTGTTCGGTCCATCCTGGTTCGCTCCATCATTGTTCGGTCCATCCTGGTTCGGTCCATCATTGTTCGGTCCATCCTGGTTCGGTCCATCATGGTTCGCTCCATCATTGTTCGGTCCATCATGGTTCGGTCCATCATTGTTCGGTCCATCCTGGTTCGGTCCATCATGGTTCGGTCCATCTCGGTTCGCTCCATCTCGGTTCGGTCCATCATTGTTCGGTCCATCATGGTTCGGTCCATCATGGTTCGGTCCATCATTGTTCGGTTCATCATGGTTCGGTCCATCCTGGTTCGGTCCATCATGGTTCGGTCCATCATGGTTCGGTCCATCATGGTTCGGTCCATCATTGTTCGGTTCATCATGGTTCAGTCCATCATGGTTCAGTCCATCATTGTTCGGTCCATCTCGGTTCGCTCCATCTCGGTTCGGTCCATCATTGTTCGGTCCATCATGGTTCGGTCCATCATTGTTCGGTCCATCATGGTTCGGTCCATCATTGTTCGGTCCATCATGGTTCGGTCCATCATGGTTCGGTCCATCATGGTTCGGTCCATCATGATTCGGTCCATCATGGTTCGGTCCATCATGGTTCGGTCCATCATGGTTCGGTCCATCATTGTTCGGTTCATCATGGTTCGGTCCATCATTGTTCGGTTCATCATGGTTCAGTCCATCATGGTTCAGTCCATCATTGTTCGGTCCATCTTGGTTCGGTCCATCATTGTTCGGTTCATCATGGTTCAGTCCATCATGGGTCAGTCCATCATTGTTCGGTCCATCATTGTTCGGTCCACCATGGTTCGGTCCATCATGGTTCAGTCCACCATGGTTCGGTCCATCATGGTTCAGTCCATCATTGTTCGGTCCATCTTGGTTCGGTCCATCATGTTTCGGTCCATCATGGTTCGGTCCATCATCGTTCGGTCCATCATGGTTCAGTCCATCATTGTTCGGTCCATTATGGTTCGGTCCATCATTGTTCGGTTCATCATTGTTCGGTCCATCATGGTTCGGTCCATCATTGTTCGGTCCATTATGGTTCGGTCCATCATGGTTCGGTCCATCATTGTTCGGTCCATCATGGTTCGGTCCATCATGTTTCGGTCCATCATGGTTCGGTCCACCATCGTTCGGTCCATCATGGTTCAGTCCATCATTGTTCGGTCCATTATGGTTCGGTCCATCATTGTTCGGTCCACCATGGTTCGGTCCATCATGGTTCAGTCCATCATTGTTCGGTCCATTATGGTTCGGTCCATCATGGTTCGGTCCATCATGGTTCAGTCCATCATTGTTCGGTCCATTACGGTTCGGTCCATCATTGTTCGGTCCACCATGGTTCGGTCCATCATGGTTCAGTCCATCATTGTTCGGTCCATTATGGTTCGGTCCATCATGGTTCGGTTCATCATGGTTCGGTCCATCATTGTTCGGTTCATCATGGTTCGGTCCATCATGGTTCAGTCCATCATTGTTCGGTCCATCATGGTTCGGTCCATCATGGTTCGGTTCATCATTGTTCGGTCCATCATGGTTCGGTTCATCATTGTTCGGTCCATCATGGTTCGGTCCATCATTGTTCGGTCCACCATGGTTCGGTCCATCATTGTTCGGTCCATCATGGTTCAGTCCATCATTGTTCGGTCCATTATGGTTCGGTCCACCATCGTTCGGTCCATCATGGTTAAGTCCATCATTGTTCGGTCCATTATGGTTCGGTCCATCATTGTTCGGTCCACCATGGTTCGGTCCATCATGGTTCGGTCCATCATTGTTCGGTCCATCATGGTTCGGTCCATCATTGTTCGGTCCATCATGGTTCAGTCCATCATTGTTCGGTCCATCATGGTTCGGTCCATCATGGTTCGGTCCATCATTGTTCGGTCCATCATTGTTCGGTTCATCATTGTTCGGTTCATCATTGTTCGGTCCATCATGGTTCGGTCCATCATTGTTCGGTCCACCATGGTTCGGTCCATCATGGTTCGGTCCATCATTGTTCGGTCCATCATGGTTCGGTCCATCATTGTTCGGTCCATCATGGTTCGGTCCATCATTGTTCGGTCCATCATTGTTCGGTCCATCATGGTTCGGTCCATCATTGTTCGGTCCATCATGGTTCGGTCCATCATGGTTCGGTCCATCATTGTTCGGTTCATCATTGTTCGGTCCATCATTGTTCGGTCCATCATTGTTCGGTTCATCATTGTTCGGTCCATCATGGTTCGGTCCATCATTGTTCGGTCCACCATCGTTCGGTCCATCATTGTTCGGTCCATCATGGTTCGGTTCATCATTGTTCGGTCCATCATTGTTCGGTCCATCATTGTTCGGTTCATCATTGTTCGGTCCACCATCGTTCGGTCCATCATTGTTCGGTCCATCATGGTTCGGTCCATCGGAGCTTTATTTAAATAACAATAAATAAAATAAAACTAGAAATAATTAACACTTAAAACAAAATTTAAAGAAAAAAACTCAAAAAAGAAACAACAAAGCTTCCCTAAAAACATTTTTTGATCACAAAGTGTTTCGAAGTTAAATTTTTTTTCTGCATTTTTTTAATTTCCATTTAATTTTTTTTTTTTCTTGAAACAAAAATGGGGGAAAATATCAGTTTACTCAGAGACACTTATAATTATTTTGGCCCTGTTTGCCTTCCATACCCGGCTTGTTAAAGGAATGTGAGTCATATTTTATCCTCCCATCCAGGCCTGCTGCTTCTTCATGAAAACAAAGATTAGATCAGGATTAAGGACATAAAGGTGTGAGCATCATTTAAAGCTCGGTGGGTTCAAAGGTCAAAGGTTAAAGGTCATAATCTGCCTCTTAGGCGCCTGTTTCAGGTTTAGCTAATCCTGTTTCTAATCCATTTAAAGATTAAGCTGCACTATAAACAGATCTAGACTCTGATCCCAATCTAGATAAAAAGAGTCCAGATTGAACTTCCTTAAATTCTAATCAAAGTGTGTTTTTATACTTTATCAGATCAAATATATATTTTTATATTTAATTCTCTGCATGAACTTCAATTTTAGAACGTTTGTTAAATAAAGGAGTTAACTTTGGGTCAGTACATGTAAAAATTATATTTAAGGTTGTTTTTTAAAAACATGAATAGAAAATAAAGAGTTGATTAAAACGTCTATTTTTATAAAATCATTTTTAACCTTGTTATAAAACATCAAAGATGTTAAAGCTTATTTTTAATATATTTATTGAATCTCTTCTTCATTGGAGCCGTTCTGTAGCGGCTTTATTTACACATTAAAGACTGTAAATAAAAATAAAGGTTATTAAACTGACTTTCCATCACTTTCCTGCTGGAGTTTTTCTCCCAGTTTGAGACTCTGCTGGTTTTTAAATGAGACTCATTTCACTGCAGGTCAAAGGATTTCAAAGCTCATAAAGGTAATCAGCTTCAGGGGGGGGGGGGGGGGGGGTCCTCTACCAGAGCCCTGGCAGTCTGAGGGTTCCTCCCAGTAGCTGAGCTCCTCTGGCCTCTGAAGAGCTCTGAGGTCTCTGATGTTCCTCCAGGTCTCCTTTGGAGCCATTTCTCCAGTCCTGGGGGGTTCTGCCCCCCCCTCTGAGGATCACAGGATCTACATCTACTTTCTCATGTTCCTGATGTTTCTATCACTACTGTCCCGTGCATAGACATAGATAGAATAGACCTCGCATCGATCGCTTGATGTGATTTGGTGGCGCCATCTTGGGGAGGTCGACAGCTGCGCTCAGTGTAATGTGTTGAACAGGAACAAAATCAGTTTTAATCAACGTTAACTTTCTGAATATTGAAATAAATTTCATGTTTCGTTTCAATGCTGAATTCATTTATATATATATGTGTGTGTGTGTGTGTGTGTATAAACAGTAGCGGCAATCCAAAATGGTCCAGTCAAAGGCCGAATGGCCGCCACCTTCCAGCCACTGCAGTGACCTCCTTTCACTGAATTACAGGGTCTGACCAGCAGATGGCGCTTCTCTTTAGATCTTAATGTCCACAAATCATGAGAGAATATTTTAGTACAAAGATTGATGTTTAAAAAGGAATAGTAGGGGACCAGCCAAGGACCAGCCAAGAACCCTTCAAGGACCAGCCAAGGACCCTTCAAGGACCAGCCAAGGACCGATCAAGGACCAGCCAAGGACCCTTCAAGGACCAGCCAAGGACCGATCAAGGAAAGTGGGGAATTTGATCAGCCTCTCCTGTTTTTTCATTAACGTTTTTTTAAAGCTGTGATGTCAGCAGTCCATCGACTCAAACTGAAATATTCTGCGTTTCTGAATCCTTCTTCTGTTCTGCTTAAAGCAGCAGGTCGACCTCTCCAAGATGGCGACCGTAGTTTCTGTGCAGGGACAGTCAATGCAGGGTCTACTCTGATACGTATGTCTAAGGGCGGCTGACATTCATAGTGTCCTGGATCCTCGACCTTTGACCCTGTTGGACCAGCTGACCTCTGAGTCGCTAAACAGAAAGATTTAAATCATTTATTTACTAAACATTTCAATTTACCTGTAAATGAATAAATTAATTTCACTCTGCAGATGCTAAGTGTTCCTCGTCTCACTCGGTGATAAGCAGCCAATCAGAGCCCAGGGATTCTAGCCCCGCCCCCTGAGTTAGACGGTTGATGAGTTTTTCTGCAGAGCAGATGATAATTATTTACTATAAACAGCAAATAATGAAAGTTAGTCAATAATTTATAAACCAGACGAACAATGAAGCATTTAACAGTTAATGAATAAAGACATGGTGGAATTATTTGATGAATAACATTATTTATTATTATTATTTTGAGCCTTAATAAACTGAAACACGACGTTAGAGTTCAATGATTTTTCTTTCTTTCATTAGAATATCTGCAAATTTCAGCGATTCTAAACACTAAAAATGTCACCATGATGTTCAGACTTTAATAAACATTTAAATTTACAGACATCAAAGCCGTTCAGTTAAAGCTTAATTTATAAATGATGAGATTAATATAATCAGATTATTCATCAGGGATGATTGGAAACAGGAAGTTTTATAAAACTTTGATCCAGTAATCCTGATTTCATGGTTTAGAAACATCATCCTGTGGAATTAGAAGCATCAGGAAATGAAAACAGACGTATTAAAATAAACGTTTTCTTCCGTCGGCTGTTTTCCTTTAAAGTTTGGAGCGCAGCGATCCGACCGCCGGCTTATCGGAGCAGAACTCTTTCCACCAGGAGGGGCGCTGCAGCACCTGGCTGCCCTGCATCACCGCCGACCACAGGTTCTTGTAGAGCTGCAGAGGTGTAACCATGGAAACCAGTCAGTGGTTTAGGTTTGTTCTTCCTCCGGTTATAGATCATGACATCACAGCCTTATCGCGCCGTATTGATGGTGGATTCCTCCACTTCTGATCCAGGATCTATTTCCGCTCCAGATTTAACCTGATCCATGATTTTTATATTGGCTAAAACTTTAATGAAGTCAGAACGGACCAATCAAAGCTCATTCTGGTTTAATATTTCTACACAAACTGGTCTTTATGCGCATTTTGAACATTCAGAACCACCAGAAGCTGATATGTGGCTAGTTATCCCTGCTAGCTCTCCTGGCTAGCTCTCCTGGCTAACTCTCATGGCTACCTCTCCCTGCTAGCTCTCCCTGCTAACTCTCCTGGCTAGCTCTCCCTGCTAGGTCTCCTTGCTAACTCTAATGGCTAGCTCTCCTGGCTAACTCTCCCTGTTAGCACTCCTCGCTAGCTCTCCCTGCTAAATCTCATGGATAGCTCTCCTGGCTAGCTCTCCCTGCTAAATCTCATGGATAGCTCTCCTCGCTAGCTCTCCCTGCTAAATCTCATGGATAGCTCTCCTGGCTAGCTCTCCTGGCTAACTCTCATGGCTACCTCTCCCTGCTAGCTCTCCCTGCTAACTCTCCTGGCTAGCTCTCCCTGCTAGGTCTCCTTGCTAACTCTAATGGCTAGCTCTCCTGGCTAACTCTCCCTGTTAGCACTCCTCGCTAGCTCTCCCTGCTAAATCTCATGGATAGCTCTCCCTGCTAGCTCTCCCTGCTAACTCTCATGGCTAGCTCTCCCTGCTAGCTCTCCCTGCTAGCTCTAATGACTAGCTCTCCTGGCTAGCTCTTCCTGCTAGCTCACATGGCTAACTCTCTGTGCTGGCTCTCCTCGCTAGTTCTCCTGCCTAGCTCTCATGGCTAGCTCTCCCTGCTATCTCTCCCCGCTATCTATCCTGGTTAGCTCTCCGTGCTAGCTCTCTGTGCATCCATCGCTTCTCTCCTTTTGCACCATGACTCTCCTCATTCACTATCGAAAAAGTATTGAAATTTTATTTCGTTTACGCTCTGGCTACAAAATAACAATAAAGTTTGTCTAAGTCTTTCTATCTTTCTATATGCCTCTTACTGTGCTGCCTTCTAGCTCACTGAGGCTAGCAATGTTAGCATCATTTAAACTGATAACATGAACTCTGGTGCAAATTATCCTGAATAAAAAACATAAAAACACGTATTAGCTGAGTGAACACCAACACTGTGAGGTTGTCAGAAACAGCTACATACCCAGTTAGCATGCTAACATCTCATCAAGTTATTTCAGAACCTCCTGTTTTTCCAGCAAATGATCGGTGAAGGTTTGGTTTCTTTACCTCTCCGTCGGCGTTGGCGATGGGCGAGTTCAGGATGAAATCTGTTGGCGCCAAAACGTCGACTAAAGCCACAGCGTCATCCTTTAGCTGTCCAGACATAAAGACAATTAAGCTAGCTTTAGCTTCCAAAGCTCAAAGCGGAAACTTCCTGCATCTAGAGCAGAATAACGCAAGTTCTTCTGAAAAAAACAGTTGATCAGTTATTGCCTAATAAAGTTTGTTCAAAAACAGTCATTTAAAACTGATGAGTTTTAGAAACCTTATAAAAATTTAAATTTCTAAACCTGATTTTCAGAAGTTTTGTTTTTAAGTTTTTTTTTTCATCCAACTGTTTCGAATAATTTGCTTTTAGTTAAAAAAAAAAACGTTGTTGAACAAACTTTGTTCCCAATTTATCCCCATAGTTTACGGCCAGAACCGTCCGCCTGAGAGCGAGCGTCTGATCTTGGATCTTAATGTTTGGTTCCTGTTTTTACGCCCCTGCAGCTCCAGACGGGTGGTTCCTGACCGCCTACCTCTGAGCAGAGTCTGAGGACGCTGAGCTGAAGCAACTCTGCAGGTTTCCTCCCAGTCAGATAGTTTCCTGCACAGAAACATCAGAGTCAGGCGGCGTCAGACCAGCTGTGCTGCCGCAGCGCCCGGAACCTACCCTGGAACAAGGTGGCCATGTGGTCGCTGAGGCTCCACAGTCCGTAGAGGGCGCACAGCTTCCTCAGCACTGGTCTGAGACCAGTGGGGGTGTCCTGGTCACTGGTCTGCTCATAGAACCTCTGCAGGCAGCAGTGCTGGATGTAGCTGATGGCCAAAGACCTGCAGTAGTAAACCTGAAACAAACAGCTTCACATGCTGAGCAGCTCCAGTCGTTCCTAAAGTCTCACTTTACCAGAGAAACAACAGCAAACATGGCGTCACTGAGCTGCTAGCACGCTAACGCTGCGTAGCTCCTAGCTTCTCATATTGGCTCAAACTGATTCATTAAAATGAGCAAATAAGTAGAAGCCGTCCTTCCAGGGATCAATTATGGAGTTTTTTAAGTTTTTTTTTCATTTAGAAACAAACAAAAAAAACTGAAAATACCAATAATTTGATACTTTTTAGTTGAAAATAATTTTTTAAAGATGAAGATTAAAAACTTAGAAAAGATGTTAAAAACAAGGGGGCGGGGCTTAGATGACATATTCCCACGTGTTGCATTTAGGAACCGTGGGAGAAGTTAATGCGTTCAGTTTATGATCATTTTAGTGTTTTTTTAATTTTCCTGATTCCTTTCTCTAAGTGACTCAAATACATATTCATCTTTTTTCATTATCAGTTTGAATTTCCTTTCATTCGGTTTCAAAACCTGTTGAAGGAAATTTATGGCTCTAATTTAGCTCCATATTTCCAGCTGCTCTAAAGTGCTGCTCCTCCTGTAGCTTCCAGGTTCAGCGCCCCCTGGTGGCCACTGGCAGCACTAATGACCCAGTCTGGGTTCTGGTTCCGGTATCAGCAGGTCTAGAAACGTTGAGCCTCTGGATGAAACCCTCCATCAGAGCTAACAGCTGTTAGCGTAGCTCGCTCAGACCGCTCTGGGTCACATGACCCAGTCAGAGCGGATCAGAACCTGTGAGGAGGAGCATCCATACGCAGCAGGAGGCGACCATCGATAGAGGATCTCAGGTTAATGCTGGGGTCAGAGGTCACGCTGTGACTGACCGCCTGGTTTCTGTTACCTGGCTGTTGTTCCGCGCCTCAAACTCATCGTTGCATGAAGCTCTCTGTTGCTCCAGCCTCCTCTGACTCTCCTCCAGCAGGAAGCAGATCAGCCACCTATAGGCAGCCAAAGGAACTGCAGGGAAAGCGCAGATTGAGAACGGGTGGAAGTTCAGGGCTGGTATTCAGCTTGTGAAGGTACCTTCAGGGTTCAGACAGTCCTCCACGGTCTCAGCTGAGAACCTGCTCTGCAGGACCTTCAGGTGATCATCCAGGAAGTCCACAGTGTGAAACGGGGACTGGATCCGCGCTCCGTCTGAAAACACAAAAGTTCTGAACGTTTCCTGATTGAACTGCTGACGAACTAACGAAGAAAGGTCTGTTCTGTTATTAACGATGGCGGCTGGCCAGTAGAGGGCGCTATGGCGCCTCCCCACTCACCCTATCACCCTGATTAAGATATAAAAAAAAAAATGAAAATATAATTATAAAAAATATTCTGATATATATTTTAGATGACCAAGATAAATGTTTAATCTTTAATGAGGATGTTGGTCAGATTGGTGACGTATTTCCATAAATCTATAGACTCTGGTTAGAAGGAGCAGCTCTCTGAAAACGTCATTGGTTGGTCAGAGTGCAGTTCACCAAGGCGGCAGCAGAGGGCAGCAAAGCAGCTGATTCAGCTTAGCAGAAAAAAACAACAAATGTTTGATGCAAAATGAACTTTTAACGTGATTTTAGAGGAAAAATTAACCAGAGAGGCTGAAATATCAGCTGGTTATGAAAATATGGCTGAATTCTGAGGTTCTGTTCGCTGCTGTTTCTGTTTGATCGGATTATTTCACCTGTTTATGAGATTAAAGGCTGAGATTAGTGTGAAGCTGTAGAAGACAGAGCATTAATCCAGCATTCATTCATTCATTCATTCATTCATTCATTCATTCATTCTGTCATGTTTAAGGTTGATTCTGGTAAAAAGACGCATCAGAGAAACTGGCTGCAAACAGGAAGCGCCGCTAAACGCAGCCAGGATTGGAAACCTGTCTTTATTGGACGTCCAACAGTAAAAAAAAATTACTTTTTTAAAATAAAATGGAAAACTAATCAAGTCAGTTTAACTTCTAACATTTGGTGGATTCTTTAATTATAAATGTCATTTTTCATCATCTTTTAATCAAAGAAATCTTTTCTATGAGACGCACACATCTAACCGCCTGGATCCAGATTCACTATTTACGACTTTATCACTAATTTATTCACCAGTTGATGACATCATCTGGTCATCAGGGTTTCCTACAGTAAAGCTAAACAGATTTAATTATATTTGGTTCTGATTCGTCTTCCTTTATTTCATTTATTCCTTTTTATCTAAATAATCAGTTGCAGGTTTTTGCAGCCTGATGATCTATAAGGTTTGGTTCTACGGCGCGCTGCGGTCTCACTCACGCTGCAGTTTGGCGTTGAACAGGCTGAGCAGGTAGTTGCTGGTCTGTTGCAGCAACACGTTGTTGTCTCCTTCATAGGTGCAGTTTGGGTCGTTGTCGTCGCGCAGATCTCCCAGCCGGTTCACTGCAACAAACACGCTGAATGAAGCCAAACCGCCTCGCTTACTGAGGCGGAAACAGACACAGCTATGGGGAGACATTCGATCCAACATTACTGGAAGATCAGAACACGTTTCAAAATAGAAGGAAATGGGTTGAAAAAATATAAGTTTGAAAACTTTGAAATCAAAAAAGGTTTTTAAGGTGATTCATAACCTGCAGTTCAACTGGCATCTTTTTTACTTTAAACAAACGGCAGAAGTCAGCGGGCCGGGAATCAAACCTTTAACCCTGCACCCCCGCCTCGCCCACTTCAGTTTATTCTCTCTATTTTCCAAATTTTATTTATTTTTACAGATTTCCCTTTTTAACCCTCTGGGTTGTTAGGACCAATAGGAGTGAGTCTACTCTGCTTAGCAACAGCATTCCTATTGGTCGGTAAAACTTAGCCTTCAAAGAAATTTCATACAAAATCAAATCTGAAATTTTTTTGAAAAGTTGACATTTGCAAAGGTTTAATCTTTTAAAAAGCGTTTTGTTTTATTTCATTTAAAGGCGTCCTTCTCTTCCAGTAATCCTGGAGCAAATTTCCCCCCGTAGGTTGCTGGTTGAACCCACTGGCCAGGTATCCGTGTCCCCCGCAGGCCTCCCTGCACTCCTGGATGCCCCTCTGAGCCGTCCAGGATCCCAGGGGTTTGCTGGAACATCCCACGGCGTGGATCTCTCTCCCCATCTCCGCCTGTGGAGCGCCAGGCAGACGGGTGACGCTCTGAGGGAAACCACACACCTGGGCCGCATGGCCGACCTTCACCCACCTGTCTGTCGCTGCTGTCCCTCATTAGCTGGCCCATCTGGAACTCCACAAAGTTCATGAAGATGGTTTTGGTGAAGTGTTCGAGGGCGTAGGCTGCAGCCAGGTACGGGATCAGACGCCACTGCTGCAACGCGCACAAAACACCTGCATCAGCATCCGCCCAAGCTCGCTGGGTGGCGGCAGCGGCGTTACCGCCCAAGCTCGCTGGACGGCGGCAGCGGCATTACCGCCAAAGCTCGTTGGGCAGCGCCGTTACCGCCAAAGCTCGCTGGGTGGCGGCAGCTGCGTTACCGCCCAAGCTCGCTGGGTGCCGCCGTTACCGCCCAAGCTGGCTGGGTGGCGGCGGTGACGTTACCACCCAAGCTGGCTGGGTGCCGCCGTTACCGCCCAAGCTCGCTGGGTGGCGGCAGCGGCGTTACCGCCCAAGCTCGCTGGGTGGCGGCAGCGGCGTTACCGCCAAAGCTCGTTTGGCAGCGCCGTTACCGCCAAAGCTCGCTGGGTGGCGGCAGCTGCGTTACCGCCCAAGCTCGCTGGACGGCGGCAGCGGCATTACCGCCAAAGCTCGTTGGGCAGCTGCGTTACCGCCCAAGCTCGCTGGGTGCCGCCGTTACCGCCCAAGCTGGCTGGGTGCCGCCGTTACCGCCCAAGCTCGCTGGGTGGCGGCAGCGGCGTTACCGCCCAAGCTCGCTGGGTGGCGGCAGCGGCGTTACCGCCCAAGCTCGCTGGGTGGCGGCAGCGGCGTTACCACCCAAGCTGGCTGGGTGCCGCCGTTACCGACCAAGCTCGCTGGGTGGCGGCAGCGGCGTTACCGCCCAAGCTTGCTGGGTGGCGGCAGCGGCGTTACCACCCAAGCTCGCTGGGTGCCGCCGTTACCACCCAAGCTGGCTGGGTGGCGGCGGTGACGTTACCGCCCAAGCTTTCTGGGTGGCGGCAGCGGCGTTACCACCCAAGCTCGCTGGGTGCCGCCGTTACCACCCAAGCTGGCTGGGTGCCGCCGTTACCGACCAAGCTCGCTGGGTGCCGCCGTTACCACCCAAGCTGGCTGGGTGCCGCCGTTACCGACCAAGCTCGCTGGGTGGCGGCAGCGGCGTTACCGCCCAAGCTTTCTGGGTGGCGGCAGCGGCGTTACCACCCAAGCTCGCTGGGTGCCGCCGTTACCGCCCAAGCTCGCTGGGTGGCGGCAGCGGCGTTACCGCCCAAGCTCGCTGGGTGGGGGCAGCGGCGTTACCGCCCAAGCTCGTTGGGTGGCGGCAGCGGCGTTACCGCCAAAGCTCGCTGGGTGGCGGCGGCGACGTTACCACCCAAGCTGGCTGGGTGCCGCCGTTACCGCCCAAGCTCGCTGGGTGCCGCCGTTACCGCCCAAGCTCGCTGGGTGCCGCCGTTACCGCCCAAGCTGGCTGGGTGCCGCCGTTACCGCCCAAGCTGGCTGGGTGGCGGCGGCGGCGTTACCGCCCAAGCTCGCTGGGTGCCGCCGTTACCACCCAAGCTGGCTGGGTGCCGCCGTTACCGCCCAAGCTCGCTGGGTGCCGCCGTTACCGCCCAAGCTCGCTGGGTGGCGGCGGCGGCGTTACCGCCCAAGCTCGCTGGGTGCCGGCGTTACCGCCCAAGCTCGCTGGGTGCCGCCGTTACCGCCCAAGCTCGCTGGGTGCCGCCGTTACCGCCCAAGCTGGCTGGGTGCCGCCGTTACCGCCCAAGCTGGCTGGGTGGCGGCGGCGGCGTTACCGCCCAAGCTCGCTGGGTGCCGCCGTTACCGCCCAAGCTCGCTGGGTGCCGCCGTTACCGCCCAAGCTCGCTGGGTGGCGGCGGCGGCGTTACCGCCCAAGCTCGCTGGGTGCCGCCGTTACCGCCCAAGCTCGCTGGGTGCCGCCGTTACCGCCCAAGCTCGCTGGGTGGCGGCAGCGCCGTTACCGCCCAAGCTCGCTGGGTGCCGCCGTTACCGCCCAAGCTCGCTGGGTGGCGGCGGCGGCGTTACCGCCCAAGCTCGCTGGGTGGCGGCAGCGGCGTTACCGCCCAAGCTCGCTGGGTGCCGCCGTTACCGCCCAAGCTCGCTGGGTGGCGGCGGCGGCGTTACCGCCCAAGCTGGCTGGGAAACCGACTCACTACACAGCATGACACCTGGAGATGATCCCAGACTACAGCCCATAGACCTACGCAGCAGTAACCATGGCAACGCTGCTGTCAGTATGAAGGGCGTTTTGTTTCAGAACTAAGTGTGAATTTGAAGTTATAGAGAGAGTTACACTTTTTAAAACCTGTTCAAACTTTTAGTAGAAGAACACTGATCCTGTTCTCCTAGTTGAACATCAAAAACCTCGTTCATCCTCAGTTTTGCTCCCAGTGGTTCAGAACTATTGCTGCAAACTACCTGTGCTTTGCAACGCTGAAGTTTTATAACTGTACATTTCTTTTTAATCCGTCACAATTTTAAAAAAGTTACACCTTTTTAAATTCTTGAGAACAAGCACATAGATTTTGTTCATAGAGTTTCCCATCAAAATGTCTTCCATTCAGTTTGGCTACAGTTCATCTAAAACTAATTTAACACGTTAATTAGAATCTTAAAGTCGTAGAGAAGCGGCCGTTCCAAACGTTGCATTTCTGAATTCTCCCAGTGGCGCCTGACTTTACAGGAGTGAATAAAGTGATTGGTCGATTATCAAGGGGGCGGGGTCGTTGTGGCGTAGAGCTAACAGAACTGGCAGCGTTGCGAGGCAAGGGCTCAAACATGTACGGCTGGAAGCCTTCTACACCAAACCAAGCTTCTGCCGCCCTGGCGTCCTCTTCCACAACATCTTCGTCCCCGCTTTCCTCCTCTAAATAAAAAATGGATGACGGAGGAGACTCATCCACGACCTCCGACCCTAAACTCTCCTCCTCTTGCATGTTTCCGCTGTCCATAGCGTTCCTTGACAGCGTCGTTTCTAAGTCACCAATTTAGTGCTACTTGGTCCCAATGGAATTTCCCATTGGGAACCTGCTAGCACTAAGATGCTAACTGGTTAGCAAGATGCTTCCCACAAACCGGCCACAACCAAACGTGCTTGCAAACCTTCCTTCACAAGAATCCCGCCCCCTTGATAATCGACCAATCACATTCACTTTATTCACTGGTGTCGGGGACCACTGGGAGAATTCGGAAATGCGACGGTTTGAACAGCCGCTTCCCTACGACTTTAATGTTTAATATTCTCGCCTCAATGATCATAAAACGTATTTTTATTGACCAACAGCAACAGAAAAAGAACTTTTAACTTAATCCTCTGAGCTCTGTGAGCGCTAACCTGGAAGCTGCTGCTGCTGCAGTGCATGCTGGGTAAAGAGGGAGGGACCATAACATTGGAACAGCACTAGGGCTGAGGATGATGACGTTTCACCAGAAGGAGGAACGGCCTTAGACTTAGACTCAGCTTTATTAATCCTTGGGATTCCTCCTTCAGGTAAATTCTGGCTCCAGTAGCTTTTATTGAGAACAAGAAGTTAAAGCAAGATTCCATTAAAGGTAGAAATAGGAGTGAAATAGGTAATCCTGTGCGCTGCATGTTTTAATAAACCGAGGCGTCTGCAGCTCATTCCAAGGATCCACTAACTGGAATAAATCAGCTAGAAACCTGATCCAACCATCCAGCACCAGCTGGCATCAAACCGGATCAAACCGGATGCTGTTCCGGTTATTTCTCTGACAGACGATCAGAGCCTCTCACTACGTTCCCACCTGTAGCTGGTATTCCAGAACCGGCAGCTCTACGGCCTCATTGGGCCCAAACTGCTTCCTGGTGGCTGAGAAGCGGATCGCCACGGTAACGGCAAGCTTCAGGTTGGTGAGGGCCATCCTGGTTATGTAGACGCGACCTCCTGATAGGGCCCCCAGAGACGCTCCGAACCGCTTGTTAGGATCCTGATGGAGACAGAAGCAGGAAGAAAAGGTTCAGTTAACGTCCGCCATGTTTTAAAGATAAACCAGAACAAACGATGGTTTTATGATTTTAAACTCTAACAGGAAAGAATTAGATCAATCTAACCTGTTAAAACAAGAACAATCACTTCAGATAAAAATATCAGAACATCGTTTCAGACAACCGCCTTTTTCTTTAGGTCCTAAACTAAAGAAAAACAAAACTTTAAAATTAAATAAGTAATGTTAAAGGAAAAAGTTTCCAACCGTCTGAAAGGAAACAGGAAATATGAACATTATCCAGCTAGCTGGTGTCGCTAGCTAAAGCGCCCCCCCATCAGCGCTTCAGCCGTCGTGTAAAAACGTAATGTCTTTGCTGACAGAATAAATACACTAACAGCCTTCCGTACAAAACGTCCAAACAGCTCATTTCTCTGCTTTGGAAGAATAAATATTTATTTTAATTTGATCTCTATAGAATAAATGATATATTCTAAAGAACGAAACCGATCGTATTTCACCAAACTGAGGATGTCGACACATCAGCAATAAATAAAAACCATTTTACTGTTTAGTATTTTATACAGTGCAGCTTAGTAAACTGGAATAATGTAAAGATAGAAAACATTCTGTTCTGATCTGAACAGGAAATGAGATTCTAACTTTATCAGCTTTGGATTTAAACTAAATCTACTATTTTTGAGTTGAATTTTTATCATTTCATGTTAACATTATGGTAAATAGTTTGCAATCTAAAGAAATAAACAACTTTAATGCAGATAAAGATGGTTTATTTGATGACATCAGAGAAGCTGTTTAAGAGAAAATGCATTAAATTGTCTCAGAAAGTCATTAAAACATTTATTTAAAGCAGTTTTCGCATTCTTTAAAGAGTTAGGAATAGAAATAAGAAATGTTTTTACAATAGTTACATTATTTATGGAAACCTGGATGGCAGCAGGCGGTGAGGGGCTTACCTTATATGGCGTCACATAGCGGCCGTCGGGGGTAACGTCTCCGGTCCGGTTCAGCAGGTTTTCTCTTGGGATTCTCACGTTGGAAAACATTGCAAACCTGTTTGGAGAAAAGAAGGAAATATTCAGGAGTTTGATTAGAAAACGGCAGAAGAAGTTTCCTGCATCTCAGCGAAACATTGAAGGACATCCAGGAAGAGCAGCTAACAGCTGGGCGGGGCCTGACTGCCGTTAACCAATGAACAGACAGGAAACCACCGCGGATCATCTGGACGCAGGACTAACCGGATCACTGGACCCAGACCTGGAAGTCTGGAACCTTCCACCCAGTGGGATCCAACCAGGACACGTCACCCACCGTGGGGGCGCCGTAGAGCCGCCAGTAGAGCTAACAGACAGTGGAAGAGTACCCAGAGAAGCAGCAGATATTATGACATCATATCCTCCACCCACCCGTTATCCAGTCCGTTCTGGCCCAGCTTCTTCCCCATGTCTCCCACCAGGACTCCAGGCAGAGCGAGGAGGGATTTAGGATCCCGTATCTGCAGAAACGCCACAGGTTACACGAGAAACACAGAAAGGAACCGAGAAAAACAACAAGGAGATCTCAATAAACAGGATTTATTTTTACTTTTTATTTAGTGTTTTTCAATTTTGCATAAAACACACAAAAGAACATGAGCAGAGAAGAGCGCTAAGAATACAGCAAAGGTTTAACAGTCCAGGTTTATTTCTCCTCCTAGTTGTTCTCCGCTTTCCTCCTTCACGTCTTCTTTTAAATCTTTTATTGCTTCTAATATGGCGGCAGGTTCCATGCTAGCGCTGATGCTAGCGCTGATGCTAGTGCTGAAGCTATTGCTGATGCTAGCGCTGATGCTAGCGCTGAAGCTATTGCTGATGCTAGCGCTGATGCTAGCGCTGAAGCTATTGCTGATGCTAGCGCTCATGCTAGCGCTGATGCTAGCGCTGAAGCTATTGCTGATGCTAGCTCTGATGCTAACGCTGAAGCTATTGCTGATGCTAGCGCTCATGCTAGCGTTGATGCTAGCGCTGATGCTAGCACTGAAGCTAGCCCTGATGCTAGCGCTGAAGCTATTGCTGATGCTAGCGCTCATGCTAGCATTGATGCTAGCGCTGATGCTAGCACTGAAGCTAGCCCTGATGCTAGCGCTGATGCTAGCGCTGAAGCTATTGCTGATGCTAGCGCTCATGCTAGCGTTGATGCTAGCACTGATGCTAGCACTGATGCTAGTGCTGATGCTAGCGCTGATGCTAGCCCTGATGCTAGCGCTGATGCTAGCGCTGAAGCTATTGCTGATGCTAGCGCTCATGCTAGCGTTGATGCTAGCACTGATGCTAGCACTGATGCTAGTGCTGATGCTAGCGCTGATGCTAGCTTCGGCTTTAGCCTTCGTTGTAGAATTCAATTCAATTCAATTCAGTTTATTTATATAGCGCCAAATTCACAACACATGTCATCTCAAGGCACTTTACAGTTCAACCAGATCAAATTGATACAAAGTTTTCTATCCAAGGAAAACCAGTTGATTGCACTGACTCATTGACTCAAATACAATCCCCCACACTAAGCATGCTTGTAGCGACAGTGGAGAGGAAAAACTCCCTTTTAACAGGAAGAAACCTCCAGCAGAACCAGGCTCAGTGTGAGCGGCCATCTGCCGAGGCCGACTGGGGTTCAAGGAGACAGAAGCAGAGATACAAAAAGCAGCTGTAAAAGGCGGCCCCGTCCAGGAAACACACAGCCAGGCAGACGAGCTCCAAGGCAGCTCCCATGCCAGAGGACGAAGAAAGCACATCCACTCAGTCACGGTCAGAGAAACAGGACCACACTGGAAAACAGGCCGATCTCCAACATCTATAAACAAGGGTGTTGATGGCAGCAGCACAGCTGATGTTTCTTTCCAGGATGACGTCACAGCCAAACAGGAACAGACGAGGCAAAGCTACTCTGAGGAAAAGCAGAGAGAGCAGAAGGTTAGAGATTGAACTAACAGATTCTGCAGAATAGGAGAACAGAGAGAGAATGAAGCAGAATGATGAAATGGGGGTCCCTATGTCCTCCAAAAGTCTAAGCCTATAGCAGCATAACTATAGAGATAGCTCAGGATAACCTGAGCCACTAACTATAAGCTTTATCAAAAAGGAAAGTTTTAAGCCTAGCCTTAAAAGTAGACAGGGTGTCTGCCTCACGGACTAAAACTGGTAGTTGGTTCCACAGGAGAGGAGCCTGAGAACTAAAAGATCTGCCTCCCATTCTACTTTTAGAAATTCTAGGAACCACTAGTAAACCTGCAGATTGAGAGCGAAGTGCTCTGTTAGGAACATAAGGAACAATCAGATCTCTGATATCAGATGGAGCTTGGCCATTTAAGGCTTTATATGTGAGAAGGAAGATTTTAAATTCTATTCTTGATTTAACAGGAAGCCAATGAAGAGAAGCCAGGATAGGCGAGATATGATCTCTCTTTTTAATTTTCATTAGAACTCTGGCTGCAGCATTTTGGATCAGCTGAAGGCTTTTAACTACAGTTTGTGGACTTCCTGATAGTAAAGAATTACAATAGTCCAGCCTTGAAGTAACAAATGCATGGACTAGTTTCTCAGCATCACCCCTGGACAGGATATTTCTAATTTTTGCAATGTTCCTCAGATGAAAGAAGGAAATTCTAGAAACCTCTTTGATGTGGGATTTAAATGACAGGTCCTGATCAAAAACAACACCAAGATTTTTTACTTTATTATCTGAAATCAGTTTAATCCCATCCAAATGAAGTGACTGGCTAATCAGTTTCTTTTTCAGAGACTCTGGTCCAAAGACTATAACTTCTGTTTTGTCTGCATTCAGAAGCAGAAAGTTAAGAGTCATCCAGGTTTTTATGTCTTCAAGACATGCCTGTAATCTATGTAATGGGTTAGCTTCATCTGGATTTATAGACAGATATAGCTGGGTATCATCAGCATAACAGTGGAAATTAATCCCATGCTGTCTAATAATTCTACCAATTGGGAGCATGTATAAAGTAAAGAGAATTGGTCCTAGCACTGATCCCTGTGGTACTCCACAGGTAACCTTTGAGCGTGTTGAAGATCTATCATTAACATGAACAAACTGAATTCGATCAGATAGATAAGATTTAAACCAGTCTAGTGCTGTTCCTTTAATTCCAACAAAATATTCAAGTCTTTCTAAAAGAATATTATGGTCAACTGTATCAAATGCAGCACTAAGATCCAACAGGACGAGCACAGATACAAGTCCATTATCTTAGGCCATGAGAATATCATTAGTGACTTTCACCAGAGCTGTTTCAGTGCTATGATGAGCTCTAAAGCCAGACTGAAACTCTTCAAAAAGTTCATTATGGTGGAAGTGATCGCAAACTTGTTTGGCAACTACTTTCTCAAGAATTTTGGATAAGAAAGGAAGATTGGATATAGGTCTATAATTGACCAAGTCATCTGGGTCAAGAGACGGTTTCTTAAGCAGAGGTTTAATTACAGCAACCTTAAAAGCTTTAGGTACATATCCCTGTAACAGAGATAGATTAATCACATCTAAAATGGAGGAGGAGATCAAAGGGAATACCTCCTTAAATAACCTGGTTGGAACTGGATCTAACATACAAGTTGAAGGCTTAGATGAAGACAATAATTTTGCTAATTCAGAGAGTTCAACTGGATCAAAGCAGTCTAAACCCAGTTCAGATTCCATGACTACCTCAGGTACAATCGCGGATAGAGGAGTGCTTATGATCTTATTTTTAATAAGATCAATCTTATTTATAAAGAATCCCATAAAGTCATTGCTGCTAAGAGCAGGTGGAATGGACGGTTCAACAGAGCTATGGCTCTGGGTGAGTTTGGCAACTGTATTAAAAAGAAATCTAGGATTATTCTTATTCTCCTCTATTAATGAGGAGAAGTATGCTGCTCTTGCTTTACAAAGGGTCCTCTTATACAGCAGTAAACCATTTTTCCAGACTAGGAAGGACTCTCGCAGGCCTGTGGAGCGATATTTTCTCTCCAGTTTCCTAGCATTTTGCTTCAAAGTACGCAGCTCTGCATTAAACCAAGGAGCAAGCTTTCTATTTTTAACGGTTTTCATTTTCAAAGGAGCTGCGTTGTCTAAGGCAATACGCAGAGAACTAGCAACCCCATCAACAAAATCATCAACCTGTGAAGGGGAATAAGCTAAACTTTTGCACTCTGCAGCACTGCTCAGTGACACAGAGGAGAGAGAAAGTGAAGCAGATTCTTTAAAATTTATAACTGCACTATCTGATAAAGATCTACTAAAATTGAACCTTCTTTTGGGGGAGGAGAACTCTGTTAAAGTAATCCTGAAGGTTATTAGAAAGTGGTCAGAGAGGACAGGGTTGTGAGGAAATACTGTTATTTCTTCACATTCTATGCCGTATGTCAGCACAAGATCCAAAGTATGAAGATGAGAATGCGTGGGACTATTCACATTTTGAACAAAGCCAATAGTGTCTAAGATAGCATTAAAGGCTGCTCTTAAGCTGTCGCCTTCAATGTCAGCATGGATGTTAAAATCTCCCACTATGATGACCCTGTCAGTATTTAATACCAAATCAGAAAGGAACTCTGAAAACTCATCTAAAAATTCAGAGTAAGGACCTGGTGGACGATACAAAGTTACAAAAAGAAGAGGTTTTCTTGCCTTGAAATTTGGATCAGGGAAATTAAGGGTTAAATGTTCAAAAGAGTTGTAGGTATTAACTGTTTTGGGAGTAATCAGTAAGTCAGACTGGAAGATTGTTGCTACTCCTCCTCCTCGCCCAGAACTTCTGGGGATGTGAAAATTTAAATAGCTTGAAGGAGTTGCCTCATTTATGCTCACATAATCCTCTTGCTGCAGCCAGGTTTCTGTAAGGCAAAACAAGTCAATGTGATTATCACAAATCAAGTCATTAACTAGTAGACTTTTAGAGGAAAGCGATCTTATGTTAAACAGACCGCATTTAATTGTTTTAACTTTTTCCCTAATTTGAGTTATTTTGATTTTAATTAGATTATCATGATTTACTCCTTTGGGAATCTTTGCTAATTTATTAGATTTTGGTCGTGGGCAAGACACTGTCTGGATGGAGTAAAGAGTGGGTAACAGTAGAGAAGCTGCAGAGATGTGTGTTAAACTACAACTCTGCTTCCTGGTCTGCACCCTGGGTGGTCAGGGTTTTGGAGGACTAATAAATGTGGCCAGATTCCTAGAAAGAAGAGCTGCACCATCCAAAGTGGGATGGATGCCGTCTCTCCGAATCAGACCAGGCTTTCCCCAAAAGGATTGCCAATTATTAATGTAGCCCACGTTGTTTTCAGGGCACCACCTAGACAACCAGCGGTTGAATGACGACATGCGGCTAAACATGTCATCACTGGTCAGATCAGGGAGGGGACCAGAGAAAATTACGGAGTCCGACATTTTTTTGGCAAACTTACACACCGAAGCAACACTAATTTTAGTGACCTCCGATCGGCGTAACCGGGTGTCATTACCACCAGCGTGAATAACAATCTTACTGTATTTAACCTTATCCTTAGCCAGTAGTTTCAGGTAGGATTTGATGTCGCCCGTTCTGGCCCCCGGCAAACATTTGACTATGGTCCCTGGTGTCTCTAATGCCACGTTTCTGACTATGGAGCTGCCAATCACCAGAGTGGGCTTCTCAGTGGGTGTGTCACTGAGTGGGGAAAACCGGTTAGAAACGTGAACGGGTTGGTGGTGACCAGTGGGCAGAGATCCACGACTACGCTTTCTGCGTACAGTTAGAAGAGCCTTTATCTTGAAGTTTTTGCATTGTTATCTTTATCTTGGCCTCTGGTACGTTTCCTTCCCTCCTCTGCGATTTATATTAGTCTAATGTGACATTATCAAGTTGATTAAAGGGATTTATTTAGTTTGGGAGAGAAGAATAAATAAAGAGAAGGATTTAGTGACGCTGGTCAAACATGGAGGACTGGATCAGGATGAAGAGATAAACCTCAGCAGCTGGTTGGTGTGACTGGAACCAATCGATTCACAGAAAAACTAAAGTCTGCTTTAGTTGGAAGCTAAACCTGACGTCCCAGAAATGTTCTATAAAAACCACAACAACACCTCAAACATCACGTTCTACAAGCAGGAGAGAAATATCTGGTAGAAACATTTCTATAACAAGATGTAATACAAGGAACCTAGAACTTGATCCAGGATCTAGACCTGATCCAGGTTCCAGGTCATTGAACCCGTCCAGCAGAGGGAGTCATGATGGTGGAGCTGAAGCTCAAATTCATCAAATCTACTGAACAGACGTCCAGAAGAAGGAGCAGCATTAAAGCCACGGCTCTGGAAAATCACCAGAATGAAATATTTCAAGATAAAGAGATATTTGTGGTGTGAGAGGTGAGATTTTATGGTTTGGATGGGAAAAAAACCCGGATAGAAGAGCTTTAACGCTCAGATGCTTCGACGCTCCGACACTCGGATGCTTTGACGCTCGCTTGCTGCAAAGTTCGATTGCTTTGATGCCCGGATGGTTCCACGCTTGAATGCTCCAATGCTGCAAAGTTTGAATGCTCCGACACCCAGATTCGCCGCTCCCGATGCTCGATGCGCCACAGGCCTGTCAGCACTGTTTGATGCCGTCCCCCACAGACTTTACATGTAAATCAGAGGCTTTGCTGCCCAGAATTCCCCTTCAGAGGGCAAAGCCTGCAGACTTAATAAAATACTGAACATTAAAACAAGCATCAGACGAATTGAACCATGTTAACAATAAACATAAATTTTCTTCCCACCTTCCTTAATATATTTCAATAAAGCAGAGCTGCAGGTTCCGGCTCCGTGGCCCCGCACCAACAGCAGAAAATACCTTTAAGGCTCCCAGCATCTGTCCAAATAACCATGGCAACAGAAAGCAGCGCAGGACAAAGGAAGAATCTCGTCTACTGAGCTCTGGCTCAGATGAAAATACTCAGAGTGAAGCAGGAAATTTTTCCCTCCATGGATTTCAGAGACGTCCTTCTGCTGCCGGATGCTGAACATCTGGATCAACCTTCCAGCTGTTTCTATGACGCTTTACTCACCGGGACGATGAAAGAGTGCAGGCCGTGGCACACCTGGTCAGGTGTGTAGAGCTGAGCGTAAACCACAGCGTGGGTGGCCGTCTTCCCCATGTTTCCAACCCAGAACTTTGCCGCCTCAAAATCCGGAGAATTGATGATAAACTCCTGCAGAGTCACAGAAAACGATGAAAACAGGCGAATTTCTAAGGCGGAGCCGCCGACACTGAGAACAGAGCTGACCTGAGACGCAGCCTCAAACACGGCGGTGGTTCTCATGGCGCGGGTGTTGCTGCCGTGGCTCAGCTCGGTCAGAGCGAAACAGCCGAAAGTCTGAGGAGACAAATCAGTCAGAGGGACCAGCAGCCGCTCAGCATCGGCCATTTAGCACTAACTGGCTTATCTTTATGGAAGTTATTTCTGCAGAATTTATTTCTTCAAATTTTATTTAGTCAAATTCTATTTTTAACGTTTATTTTCACATTTTAATAGTGGAAACCTAGTTTTACTAATTTCTTTCTATTTTTCCAGGTATCTCCTTCTACACCTCTGGGCGGTCTGTGAACGGACCAATAGGAGTGAGTCTGCTCTGGGCGGGCCTTAGCAACAGCGTTTCTATTGGTCAGAGGGGTAGAAGGTGAAACCTGTAAATTAGAACAGAGTTCATGCCAAAAAAAAGGAATTAATTAAAAAAAAACAGATAAATTCTGAGGAAAAAAATTATTTTTAAACCTTTTTTGACTGAGAAATTTTACAAAATAGCATTTTTTTTTAATATATTATCTTAATATTGGAACTAATTTCTGTCTATATTTGGAGAAAATTTTTATTTTTTTTTCTTATTTAATGACTCACCGACATGTCAGCTGTGTCTTTAACATATTTGCTGTGTCTCTGGGAGCCTGAGCTGGAGATGGTTCCTCCAAACATCTGAAACGAGACGTTCATGACTGCTTCAGGACAGAGGAAAAAAAATGATTTACAGAGGAAGGAACATCTAAGACCTGGGACAAAATAAAGGACGCGTTTTAAATAACAACAGATTATTCTGTAAACTAGGTTATATTTTACCAAAGGAACCGTTACTGGCAGGTTTCTCTACCTGAGAGGAAATCTTTGGGGTTATTTATTGACCAACCGGGACCTTTGGCATCAAAGGGAACAAATGCCATAAAAAAAACAGCCTTTGTTAATTATTGTCTATTTATTGGACTCCTGTTACCAATGGAGCTCTGTTAGCAACACGCTTCATATAGTATATAAAAAATAAGCTAACGGTGAAATTCAACAAAAGCCCCTAATCAAAAGTTTGCTTTTATTTACAAATTTATTTAAATTGAAATGTTAGCCATTTACAGCTCAATGTTAGCAGCTAACCCTGTGGCAGTTAACAGTTAGCCACAGCTGGCTAACTGCTGTCATTTAGCAGGATTGGACTGCTTAATTATAGCTGTTTACATGTATAGCGAAATGATCATTTAGTAGGATTTTACAGCTGGCTAACTGCTATCATTTAGCTACGAAATCCTGGCAAATGACAAGCTAAAATCCTGTTACCATTTAGCTGGATTTGACTGCTAAATGATAGCATTTAGCCACAGCTGGCTAACTGCTATCATTTAGCAGGATTGGACTGCTAAATGTTAGCTATATACAGCTAAATGGTAGCAGCTAACCCTGTGGCAGTTAACAGTTAGCCACAGCTGCTAACTGCTATCATTTAGCAGGATTGGACTGCTAAATGGTAACTATTTACAGCTAAATGTTAGCAGCTAACCCTGTGGCAGTTAACAGTTAGCCACAGCTGCTAACTGCTATCATTTAGCAGGATTGGACTGCTAAATGTTAGCTATATACAGCTAAATGTTAGCAGCTAACCCTGTGGCAGTTAACAGTTAGCCACAGCTGCTAACTGCTATCATTTAGCAGGATTGGACTGCTAAATGGTAACTATTTACAGCTAAATGTTAGCAGCTAACCCTGTGGCAGTTAACAGTTAGCTACAGCTGCTAACTGCTATCATTTAGCAGGATTGGACTGCTAAATGTTAGCTATATACAGCTAAATGTTAGCAGCTAACCCTGTGGCAGTTAACAGTTAGCCACAGCTGCTAACTGCTATCATTTAGCAGGATTGGACTGCTAAATGGTAACTATTTACAGCTAAATGTTAGCAGCTAACCCTGTGGCAGTTAACAGTTAGCCACAGCTGGCTAACTGCTATCATTTAGCTGCGAAATCCTGCCAAATGATAAGCTAAAATCCTGTTACCATTTAGCTGGATTTGACTGCTAAATGATAGCAGTTAGCCACAGCTGGCTAACTGCTATCATTTAGCAGGATTTTACAACTGAATGATGGCAGTTAGCCACAACTAGCTAACTGCTATGATTCAGCAGGGTTTTGCAGCTAAATATAGTTAGCTAACTGATATGATTTAGCAGGATTTTGCAGCTAAATATAGTTAGCAAACTGCTATCATTTAGCAAGATTGGACTGCTAAAAGATAGCAGTTAGCCACAGCTAGCTAACTGCTGTGATTTAGCAGGATTTTGCAGCTAAATATAGTTAGCTAACTGATATGATTTAGCAGGATTTTGCAGCTAAATATAGTTAGCTAACTGATATGATTTAGCAGGATTTTGCAGCTAAATATAGTTAGCAAACTGCTATCATTTAGCAAGATTGGACTGCTAAAAGATAGCAGTTAGCCACAGCTGGCTAAATGCTATCATTTAGCAGGATTTTACAACTGAATGATGGCAGTTAGCCACAACTAGCTAACTGCTATGATTCAGCAGGGTTTTGCAGCTAAATATAGTTAGCTAACTGATATGATTTAGCAGGATTTTGCAGCTAAATATAGTTAGCAAACTGCTATCATTTACCAAGATTGGACTGCTAAATCCCATTAGCCCCAGCTGACTAATTGCTGGGGTGGAATCAATGCATAAATAGCAAAAATATTCTATGAAGAACAAGAAGCGATTATATTTGCAGCCTGAGGTCAAAGGTCATCTCACCCCTTTGTTCAGACCGTACTTGGCCACCATGGCCCAGTCGTACATCCCCAGACAGTCCTCCAGTATCACCGCCTTCCATGGATCCGACATCATTTCCTCCTCAGTCAGGAAGTTGTAGCGAAACAGCTGCTTCACCCTGAACGTTTTCAGGCAGACATATTGGATCGAACCTTAAAAGAACCTTTTTATTTTACAGTCCGGCATGAAAACAAACCTGAGAAAATTGAGTTCTCTCTTCTTCTCTATAGGAACGTCTTCTCCAGGCTGACGGGCGAACAGAGGATCGTTTTCCAGAGTCCTGAACACGTGTTGCTGTACGGAGAGAAAACCAGAGAAAAACATGAAATGATGGAAACCATCTTTGCTTCTACTTTACTTCCCTAAAGTAAAACAATCAACAGTTATATTAAAGACACTGTTCAAGGTTAAACAGAAAAGGATTAAATTATCAACAAATTAACTTCTTTAGCAAGAGTATGGAGAGAAATTTATTTCAAATAACATCAAAGGCAAGGAACTGTGTATTTAAATATAAGTTCTGTTTTGTTTTTGTTCTTCAATTTTTTTTATATTTTTTTCCAGATTTTAATTTGCTGAGCAGTTTTACAGATTATAAAGTTTTACATCCTCTACACCTGATGGTGGAACCGCTGATCTGTATCTGATCCTTTAGTTGATCTTCACACGATGAGCCCCTCACCTGGATTTTAATTCTCTCTACCAGAAGTAATAAAATAAAACTTGTGGATAGAGCAGCATTTCTATTGGTCCAGGCTCAGGCCACCTATAAGGGTACATCCTGAAATCTGTAGATTATAAAAGAATTCAGTAAAACTCATCCACCAAAAATGTGAAAGAAAAATAATATCTGGAAAAATAACAAACTTTATAAATATTGGTTAAAATTTGGCAAACACATTATTATTTATTCTAAATTATTTTTTAAGATAAAGTTTGTCATAGCTCTATTTTTGAAACATGTCCTTTGTTTCTAATAATATCGTAACAATTTTCTCTCTGTACTCCATACTTTGAACACAAATGTCTCTCCATACACCGTACTTTGAACACAAATGTCTCTCCGTACTTTGAACGCAAATGTCTCTCCGTAAACCGTACTTTGAACGCAAATGTCTCTCCGTACGCCGTACTTTGAACGCAAATGTCTGTTCGTACGCCGTACTTTGAACGCAAATGTCTCTCCGTACGCCGTACTTTGAACGCAAATGTCTGTTCGTACGCCGTACTTTGAACGCAAATGTCTGTTCGTACGCCGTACTTTGAACGCAAATGTCTCTCCTGTTAAAGAAAAATGATTATTTTTTAGACTTTATTACAGTTAATCTTATGGCATGTGTAAACACTCTCACTTGAACATATTTCTTAATTTTGAACAAGGCTGTGTTAATGATTTAAAACTACTAATGGGTAAGTATTCAAAGCACAGGAGGCCTTAAAATGAGTATCTCCTGGGGGGTGAATAACAGTTAAGCCTGCAGGAGAGATTTCTGCTTGGTTTACAGAAGGTCAAAAGTCTTCCAGAATAAACAACCAGGGATGGTGAGGCCCCCCGCATTCCACAAGCTGTCTGTGAGAGCTTATCTTGTGTTTTATGACTTTAGGAATTCTAGATGCCAGGACAAGCTTTCCGCCTTTTCTTGTTAAAACAAAGAAGCAAATGACCCCAGATGTTTGCAGTAAATAAGGGGAAGCCCTAGCAGTGTCAGAGATGGCGTTTGGTTGGAGGACCGAGGGCCAGCCCCTTTTTGAATGGATTAGATACAAGAGGATAAAGCTTTCTAAATAGAAGAAAAAGATCAGATTTGCCCTTGCAACTCTCCAAAGATGTCTCTGTACTCTTTGCTTTCTTTCCTCCTATGTCAGGTAATGGAATGTATGTCTCTGTTGTTCTGCAGTTTCTGGTGTAGGTTTGTGCATTGTCTTATTTCTAAAGTGTATGCATTGTCTTATATTGGATTAAACTCTGTAATTCTGTGACGTCAACACGCAATGTTGGTTTTATTACCAAACGCAGCTCGCCGAGTGGACCTGGGGAAGGGAAGAATCAGAAGCCAATCTTTTTCCAAAGTTAACTATGTTAGAATATTTTCTTCCTTTACACTCCGTACGCCGTACTTTGAAGACAAATGTCTCTCCGTACACCGTACTTTGAAGACAAATGTCTCTCCGTACACCGTACTTTGAACACAAATGTCTCTCCGTACTCCGTACGTTGAACACAAATGTCTCTCCGTACCCCGTACTTTGAACACAAATGTCTCTCCGTACCCCGTACTTTGAACACAAATGTCTCTCCGTACCCCGTACTTTGAACACAAATGTCTCTCCGTACACCGTACTTTGAACACAAATGTCTCTCCGTACACCGTACTTTGAACACAAATGTCTCTCCGTACACCGTACTTTGAACACAAATGTCTCTCCGTACACCGTACTTTGAACACAAATGTCTCTCCGTACACCGTACTTTGAACACAAATGTCTCTCCGTACACCGTACTTTAAACACAAATGTCTCTCCGTACACCATACTTTAAACACAAATGTCTCTCCGTACACCGTACTTTGAACACAAATGTCTCTCCGTACACCGTACTTTGAACACAAATGTCTCTCCGTACACCGTACTTTAAACACAAATGTCTCTCCGTACACCGTACTTTAAACACAAATGTCTCTCCGTACACCGTACTTTAAACACAAATGTCTCTCCGTACACCATACTTTGAACACAAATGTCTCTCCATACACCGTACTTTAAACACAAATGTCTCTCCATACACCATACTTTAAACACAAATGTCTCTCCGTACACCGTACTTTGAACACAAATGTCTCTCCATACACCATACTTTAAACACAAATGTCTCTCCATACACCATACTTTAAACACAAATGTCTCTCCGTACACCGTACTTTAAACACAAATGTCTCTCCGTACACCGTACTTTGAACACAAATGTCTCTCCGTACACCATACTTTGAACACAAATGTCTCTCCATACACCGTACTTTGAACACAAATGTCTCTCCATACACCGTACTTTGAACACAAATGTCTCTCCATACACCGTACTTTAAACACAAATGTCTCTCCGTACCCCGTACTTTGAACACAAATGTCTCTCCGTACACCGTACTTTAAACACAAATGTCTCTCCATACACCGTACTTTAAACACAAATGTCTCTCCGTACACCGTGCTTTGAACACAAATGTCTCTCCGTACACCGTACTTTGAACACAAATGTCTCTCCGTACACCGTACTTTGAACACAAATGTCTCTCCGTACACCGTACTTTGAACACAAATGTCTCTCCATACACGGTACTTTGAACACAAATGTCTCTCCGTACCCCGTACTTTAAACACAAATGTCTCTCCGTACACCGTACTTTGAACACAAATGTCTCTCCGTACCCCGTACTTTAAACACAAATGTCTCTCCATACACCATACTTTAAACACAAATGTCTCTCCATACACGTACTTTAAACACAAATGTCTCTCCATACACCGTACTTTGAACACAAATGTCTCTCCATACACCGTACTTTGAACACAAATGTCTCTCCGTACACCGTGCTTTGAACACAAATGTCTCTCCATACACCGTACTTTGAACACAAATGTCTCTCCGTACACCGTACTTTGAACACAAATGTCTCTCCGTACACCGTACTTTGAACACAAATGTCTCTCCATACACCATACTTTGAACACAAATGTCTCTCCATACACCGTACTTTGAACACAAATGTCTCTCCATACACGTACTTTAAACACAAATGTCTCTCCGTACACCGTACTTTGAACACAAATGTCTCTCCGTACACCGTGCTTTGAACACAAATGTCTCTCCGTACACCGTGCTTTGAACACAAATGTCTCTCCGTACACCGTGCTTTGAACACAAATGTCTCTCCGTACACCGTGCTTTGAACACAAATGTCTCTCCGTACACCGTACTTTGAACACAAATGTCTCTCCGTACCCCGTACTTTGAACACAAATGTCTCTCCGTACACCGTACTTTGAACACAAATGTCTCTCCGTACACCGTACTTTGAACACAAATGTCTCTCCGTACACCGTACTTTGAACACAAATGTCTCTCCATACACCGTACTTTGAACACAAATGTCTCTCCGTACCCCGTACTTTGAACACAAATGTCTCTCCGTACCCCGTACTTTGAACACAAATGTCTCTCCGTACACCGTACTTTGAACACAAATGTCTCTCCGTACACCGTACTTTGAACACAAATGTCTCTCCATACACCATACTTTGAACACAAATGTCTCTCCATACACCGTACTTTGAACACAAATGTCTCTCCATACACGTACTTTAAACACAAATGTCTCTCCGTACACCGTACTTTGAACACAAATGTCTCTCCGTACACCGTGCTTTGAACACAAATGTCTCTCCGTACACCGTGCTTTGAACACAAATGTCTCTCCGTACACCGTGCTTTGAACACAAATGTCTCTCCGTACACCGTGCTTTGAACACAAATGTCTCTCCGTACACCGTACTTTGAACACAAATGTCTCTCCGTACCCCGTACTTTGAACACAAATGTCTCTCCGTACACCGTACTTTGAACACAAATGTCTCTCCGTACACCGTACTTTGAACACAAATGTCTCTCCGTACACCGTACTTTGAACACAAATGTCTCTCCATACACCGTACTTTGAACACAAATGTCTCTCCGTACCCCGTACTTTGAACACAAATGTCTCTCCGTACCCCGTACTTTGAACACAAATGTCTCTCCGTACCCCGTACTTTGAACACAAATGTCTCTCCGTACACCGTACTTTAAACACAAATGTCTCTCCGTACACCGTACTTTGAACACAAATGTCTCTCCGTACACCGTACTTTGAACACAAATGTCTCTCCGTACACCGTACTTTAAACACAAATGTCTCTCCGTACACCGTGCTTTGAACACAAATGTCTCTCCGTACCCCGTACTTTGAACACAAATGTCTCTCCGTACCCCGTACTTTGAACACAAATGTCTCTCCGTACACCGTACTTTAAACACAAATGTCTCTCCGTACACCGTACTTTAAACACAAATGTCTCTCCGTACACCGTACTTTGAACACAAATGTCTCTCCGTACACCGTACTTTGAACACAAATGTCTCTCCATACACCGTACTTTAAACACAAATGTCTCTCCATACACCATACTTTAAACACAAATGTCTCTCCGTACACCATACTTTGAACACAAATGTCTCTCCGTACACCGTACTTTGAACACAA